GGGAGCAGTTAACTGGGACGAGAGTAGCAGACGCTTCCCACCAGCTCCACTAAATACACATCCCCTTCCTGTCCTCCGTTACCACGAGACACGGGGAAGGGCATGAATGAAGTCGGACCTCGCAGGCCTCCACTGTCCAATTCATACCACTGTAGCAGCAGGGCCTTAGCAGCAGTATTAGCATTCAGCTAGAACGTGCAAAGCATTTTCATATTCAGTAGGCAGGAGATTACTCAACACGACGAGAAGGCGAGGTTTGCATTCTGCCAATTGGCGCTTCTTCCCCCTCTGATGCACTGTTTAAAAGCAACCTGAGGAACAGCGACGGGCGCTGCGCGGCACCCGGAGCTGGAGCGCGGCTTTAGATTCCTTTCGTCTTTTTCAGACTCTTTTATTTTAACCTTACGGGATCGTGGGCTCTTAGGTCTGTCATCTTGTTCAGCCTCAGCTGTCCTTGGCGTTCTCTTTAGCTGCAGCGTATGTTCCGAGCCAGACTTACTGAGGAAATTGGAGAGACGGTGAAATGCTGAGATACGCAACGGGGGGGCATCTCTGCGGTGCCTTTGTTTGGAATTCCTCGCAGTAAGGATGACGCAGCGGAAGTCCATCCGGTAGCCGAGCGTAGTAGGCGAGCGCGATTCCTCGCGTGAGGAAAGGGGAACGCAAAGGCGGTGTGGACGCTACAACTTCTTCCCAGTCTGCAGGAGCGGTTGAAGAGCGCTGGACTGCACGTGTGCCGTTTTGGGAAGGATCTAGCTTTTTAGGTGTGGATTCATAAATGATAATTCTGCGACTCATACCGTTCATCTAGCTAGGAGAAAAAGTCTCCCATCGTAGTTCCAGTGTGGTCAGGTTGTGTAGGTAGCAAGTGCTCATTTCTTCACTCCGCGCGCATTTATAGAGTAGATAGGAACCATTTGTAAGGTAAGTCCTTTCAAGTTCTATACTATTAAAGTAGTGGTGATTGGTCTGATATATGCTGCTCTTGACTCTACACTAGACAAACAAGCAGTGCTTTGTGAAATGCAGTGTTTTCTCTTAATGCCACTGGTGATAGGAAGTAGTTCTCTTCAGTTCCGACTCCTGTGCCCTTACTTGCTGCTTGCTGACGTAAGCAATAATCCCTCTCTGACGGTATCTACGTGTTCTGTATCTCGTACTCCGATTGTCTCTCTGGTGACCATGTAAGAATATTAGGCTAAGATAAAAATATCTATTTATTAACTGTTGATACTGAGATTCAGTCTGTGACCTGTGTTTTGTATTTTTATTGTGTATCTTAGTGGTGGTGAAATTTGTATGACGAACCTTTCCAATAAAGAGCTGAAGTATCCCTTTTCCGCGTTAACACAACCCGCATCAGTTTCAGTTGAAGTGTTAACCGCGTTTGCAGAACTAGGAGGTAGGTAGGCAGCGAGAACACGTGTTTTATTCTTTTGAACTGTGTGGGTTTTGAGACGCGGGCTCCGGGCGCTTTGTCTGGAGCTGCTCAAAACTCGCTCACGAGCTCTTCACTGTGAGTACTGGCAGGATTCCCTCGAGCCCCACTCTGAGAGGTTCCTGCGTACACTCGTTTCAACGTGCAACTCTGAGGAGTGTCTGCGTTGCAGAGAGCAGTATAGCACCAGACCAGGGAGCTGTTAACCCCTTTCCATTTGCACTACAGGTGGGTGGAAACGCATGTATATAACTTTTTTCTTTACCTAGAAGTGCCATCAATTGTCCTTGCACGTTAAAACCACTCGGTGTTCGATTCAGATGGCGTTGCCACGCGGAAGGACAATGTCAAAGCAGACTTTAACTTACGCCACGTTTATGGTGGTACGTCGTCGTAGAAACTCCGCTTTTGGAACACTGTGTGTCGGCGAGAAACGCGTTGTCCTACGGGCAGACGAGACGAGGCATAAGGAGCTCTGTGTTTATAGACATGGCTGCTGGTGTTCAGGTCCACTATCTCCTCACTAAATTCTCCCGACCCTGGCAATGTCGTACGGGAAAAGAAAATGAAAGGTTGGTCTAAATTAGGGGCTGGTTTAGCACATTTAATTCACTAGTCGCATAAAGCCATCGAAGGGGATACTGCAGCTTTGTTCATGCCTGCAATTTAGGGCAATCTTTCTTTAATTCATATCCCCTTTGCAACAGAACAACCTTTCTACCCTTGTATCGTGTGCAATAAGTAATAACAAAGCATTAACGCCACCTCTGACAACAAGGTCTGTACCCTCTCCCAGCCCTCGCTACCCAGGCGCTCGCGCTATCCCTGCCAGCATCAAAGGAAAAAAGGAAATCCCACCTCTTAGGGCCTAGTACAACTGCTGTACGTCACACCTGCCTTTCGTTAGGTTTTTTTCTCTCCTTCACTTGAAGACATCTTGGAACAAGAACAGGGGAAGGTGGCTGAGATCACCCCGAGTACGCCCTCTCGCAGGAGCCGGGCATGGGGTCAGTCGCTACACCGGGCGCTCCTGTTGGCCTCTCTGTGATCTTGTTCAGGAAACACGTTCTGGCTGCAGCGAATAAAGCGAAGCTAACCATTTCAGTGTTGGGACTTCCCATTTGCACTCTTGTTCTACGGTTCACATACCAGTTGAGTTATAACCATGTATTAGTCATCCATATTTTATTTATGAAAGCTGTTTATACGGAAAAACTGTTGAAGTTTTACCAATATCTTAATAAAACAGCAATTTAAACCACACTTCTGCAGCTAGTCTGTTTATTTAAGAGCCAAGGTAGCAACCAACATCTGAATTCAGTCTTTACTGCAGCGAGAGCAGATTCCCCGCGTGTGATGTAACAGGAAGCAACACTGTTCAGCACTGGCCTAACCTGCACCCGTGTTGTTACTCAGCGCCCAGCAGCCTGGGGTGAGAGGGGCTGCTGTGGCCCTGTGTAGGTTGGTTAGAGGAGTAAGCCTGCCCAGTCTCTTTCCGCCAGTGCCTGAAGGGGCTACAAGGAAGCTGGGGGGGACTTCTTACAAGGGCCTGTAGTGACAGGACAAGGGGTAACGGGTTTAAATTGAAAGCAGGGAGGTTTAGATTAGATATCAGGAAGAAATTCTTCATGGCGAGAGTGGGGAGGCACTGGGACAGGTTGCCCAGAGAAGCTGTGGATGCCCCATCCCTGGGAGTGTCCAAGGCCAGGCTGGATGAGGCTTGGAGCAACCTGGTCTAGTGGAAGGTGTCCCTGCCCATGGCAGGGGGGATGGAACTGGATGGGCTTTAAGGTCCCTTCCAGCCCAAACCAGTCTATGATTCCCCACTTCTTGTTTAAGAAGCAGCTGTGTGCAAGTTCTGCATGAGGTGAGTAAAGCACAGTGGCAGCAGCTCCGTTCCTGCCCCTGCACAGACACCAACCCCAGAACACAGCACCTGGCTAATCAAATTTCCTTCAGCTCAGGCCTCTCCTCAAGAGTAAAAGCATCTGTGAGTGTCCGAGAGGCAGAGCTCCGTGCTTACTGCTGAGCTGCGCACAACCATCACCACGCAGCCCCCTATGACAGCCAGCATGGCCCTAGGGCAGTGCAGCCCAGCCGGGGACACTCAGTGCTGTGGCAGCTCACAGCCACACACCTTCCTTCCACTGAGAAATACAAAGTCAGGTTTTTACCCCCCCTGTGGCTCCTCCTCCATTTTTACTTGAATATAGCAAATTTAAGCATGTGCTCTGGCTTCCACTACCATAGCTCTAAGAATCCCAGATGGTTTCTCATTGCATAATTCAGGAAAAAGGTGACCATCAGGCAGTCCCTGGGGAGCTGGTGCTACAGCCCCTGACAGGCATTCTCCACCTTTTACTTACTTACACACAACCATCTGTAACTCACACCGGATTCCAACATTCATTTTATTAACAAAGTGCAAACAAACAGTTGAAACTTGGAGTTGTACATCACGTACACCGGGGAACATCCCTACAGCAACATCAGTACAGCCAGCGGAGACAAGGACAACTATCCCTTACACTTATTCATGCTTTGTCACGAACCAGTTACTCGGCTTTCATCGTCGCTTCACGAGCAGTTGAACGGCCAATGCGCGGTGGTGAAGAGTCTGGCAACGTGTTTG